CAACAGGGCTGGGGGAAGATGGGGCCACGGGGTCAGCGACGTGTCCCCTGGGCAGGCACATCCCACAGGGATGGGATCTGCAATTTTCCCAACCCCCTTCCACCCACCAAACCCACACTACATCTTCCTGGGGCTGGAGGGGGGACAAATCCAAGCAGGCTGTACAGAAATAAATCCTTTCCCGCCGAGCACAGCTGTGTTGTCGCTCTGATTTTCTGCTACGCCCCGTTCCCACTCCTGGCAGGAGGAACGAACCTCTGGTCTGGGGGTTTTGTTGCCAGCGCTGCATCGGCAAAACCCACTCTGCAGGAATTCGCAGCAGCGGGTGGTGGCATTGTCACACAAAATCCCCCCCGCGAGAGCCGGGCAGGCAGAGGCAGGGTCATCGGTGGGATTACAGCTGCTTCGGGCTGGTGGATGCACAAGGGGGAGGCTGATCAGGCCACACACGCAGCCCCAGCCCTCTAGCAAGATGAAATCACTTCTAGCCGTTGGGTTTTAGGGGACAGGAGCCTAAAAGTGTCCCTGCCGGGGAGACACCAGCATCCCCCCCTCAAGGCCCAAACTGGCAGCACCAGCACCATGACGAGCTGCTCGCTACAGACCCAAGTGCTTGATGAAGAGCTCGCTCAAGCACGTTATTCCCCCAAAAATCAGCCTCGTATCTGCTACCAGCAGGCTGGGAAACCCCTGCCAGGAGTGCGTAGCAGAGGGAGTTTTACTGCCCTGCCAGGGCAGGAGCACCGGGACGAGGCTGTTCCTCCCAGCCTGGCACAATATTTCTTTCCCTTTGCATGGCTGGAAAGAACACAACACCAAGAAGTTGCCCTCCACACCAAGGGGCAGCTGCCACCCTGCAGGCAGGGCCTGGGGCACACAAACAGCAAGCTCTCAACACTGCCAGCCTGTTGGTTGACATATTTTAATGGGCGACTCCCCATGGTCAACCTCTGACCCAAGGAGAGAGGCCTAAAACCGCTCTACAAGCAGAGACGAGCGCACAGTCACACCAGCGCTTCGGGAACGAGTGGTTTTCCCTTTCCCCGAGAAGGGGGACACACAGCGAGGGCACCCGAGGTCTTGCTGGCTCCTTCTCCTTGTCAGTGCTCTGCCGAGGAGGGCTGCCAGGAGCAGAGCGTTTGCTTGCTGGCAGGCTGTGCTGAGGCATGTTCTTCTCACAAAGCTGAGGACAAAAATGCCCTTAGGGAGCTGCTCGGCCCCTCAGTCCACTGGGCTCAGCTGGATGCCTCCATCTCGGTGACTTCCTCAAGCGGCTGGGTCTGCACTTCCACCTTCTTCGGGAGGATGTAGGAGCCCATCCCGGCAGCACGCTCAGCCTCCTCCTGCGTGTACGGTGCCTCCCGCAACTGCTTCAGCCTGCGGGGAAGGCAGAGAGGAAACATGAAGCCTTCCACCCCAGCTCCTCAAAACAAGACCGGCCCAGAACTGACACCCCCCACCCACCTCACCCTGATGAAAAGGGGGCAAGAGGCCACGGCCTGCTCCGGTGCAGGGCACAGGCCCACGGGGTGGCTCCAGGCCCCACTCAGGCCCCCCCTTACCTCTTCTTGTGCACTTTGGATCTGAAATGCTCCTTCATGCTGGTCAGGTCCACGAAGTAGCGCCTGGTGGGGGGGATAAGAGGATGGGGGTCAGGGGTCGCCGAGATGGCAGCAGCGCTGGGGAAAGCCCTACAGAGGGGCCAGGGTCCCCCCACACACTCCTGGGGGCCAGTTCCCCAGGGGCCAGCGCCCCCCCACCCCCCCGGATCAGAACAAGCTCCCCGCAGCGCCCAGGGCCCCTCCTGAGACCAGGACAAGATCCCTGGGGATCAGAGTCTCCCCTCACCAGGCCCAGGCCCGCCCCAGGAGCCAGGAACCACCCCGCCACCCCGATAACCCCCTCCCAGGGGCCAGAGACCCCCCCCAGGACCAAG